GATTCCTATTGCTAACATAAATTCAAGCAGATGAATTGCATGAAGCAAAACAACAAAGCCTTCAAATGTGAGACAAAGAAAAATGTCCCTCTCTCTGAGAGTCCATTAAATCGATAGTGGCAAACAAATAAAGAACGCCTGTTTCCCTTACCCACAATTCCTCAGTGCAACCCCGGAAAATATCTTTGGATGTTATCTAAAGCACAAACATAATGGACTGTTTAACACAGTAAAAAATCACTTATTAAAAATTTATCTGCTTTTTGTCATTCATTTTTTTTATGCATTTCTCTTTTGCTTTTACTTTTTTCTGTTAATGCAATATCAATATTTTTACTTTTCTGTTTTGACTATTTTTTGTTTTATTTTTCCATTTACGGTTTTATATATTTTGTTTGCACTTATCCATGGGTCGTCTCTTTTTTTTTTCTTTTTCTCTTTCTTTTTTTCTTGCATCTCTCTCTACCTTTCTTTTAATTTTTACACTTTCTTTCTTTCTTTCTTTCTTTCTTTCTTTCTTTCTGTCTTTCTTTCTTTGTTTTTTTTATTTTTATACACCCTGTTTATTCTTTTTTTATTCTTCTTTCCTTACAATTTCTTACTTTCTTTCTGTCTTTTTTTTCTTTCAATCTTTATATTTATACACTGTATTTGTTCTTTTTTTACTCTTCTTTCCTTTACACTTTATTTCTTTCTTTCTTTCTTTCTTTCTTTCTTTCTTTCTTTCTTTCAAGTCCTCATTATTCTCCTTCTATTCTATAATTTTCATTCATTTATTCCTTGTTTTCTTCTTTCAATTTCTCTTTTTTTAATCACCCCCTGCTCATTTTTTCTCTCTTTCTATTACACTTTCTTTCTTTCCGCTCTTTCTTTTTCTTATATTGTCTAATCCTTCTTCCTTTACTCTATACATACCTTTTCTTTCTTTCCCTATTCCTTTCTTTCTTTTAATTCTTGCTTATTCTTCTTTTTCCCTATGCACTTTCTTTATTGCTTTCATTCTTTCCTTATTTCTTTTAACTTATACAGGTCCGATTTTATTTTATTCATTTTCTTTTCTTTCTTTCTTTCTTTATTTCTTTCTTTCTTTTATTTCACGCTTATTCGTTTTATTCTATTCCTTTTCTTCTATTTTTAATTCTTTCTTTTTTTCTTTTTTATTTTCTTCTTTTATTCAATATTTTTCTTTTTCCTAATATTTTTATTTTTTGTACTTCGTTATTGTTTGCTTATTTTTAGTTTCTTTCTTTGATTCTTTTATCACTTGTAATTCCTTTCTTTCTTTATTCCTTTCTTTCTTGCGTTCTTTCTTTATTCCATTCTGTCATGTTCTGGTTATTCTTTTATTATATACCGTTCATTTATTTATTTAATCTTTCTTTCTTTCTTTCTTTCTTTCTTTCTTTCTTTCTTTCTTTCTTTCTTTCTTTCTTTACTCAATATCTCGTCATTTCTTTATTCATTAACGCCTTCATTTCTTCATTCATTCCATTATTTCTTTCGTAATTTCTCTTTCTTTTATTTTCTCTTTCTTTCTTTCTTTCTTTCTTTCTTTCTTTCTTTCTTTCTACACTCTCTACTTTCTTTCCTTCTTACAATCGCTTTTTCCTTCGTTCTTTTTTTCTTTCTTTCTTTGCTCATATTTCCCTATCAAATGTGTTGTTCGATTGATCTGTTAAAGTCTAACAATCTCTCACCTTCTGTTCTTTTGGTCTGCTTATTTACAAAGGCCGCCATGTTCCTTACTTTTTCTCGGTTTTCCCATTTAATGCCTTCAACAATCAATAAATAAATACATACACACATATGTAGACAGACATACACTCTCACACACACATAAATTTGTGTGTGTGTGTGTGTTAATGATAATGATAATAAACATTCCGAAGCAAAAACTAGTATTGCAACAATGAAAATAAAGGGAAAAGTCAGTGGCAAGTCAGTGCAGCAGTTGTAATGATGGTGGCTTTCAAGCGGGTATTCAATATTATCGTTACTCTGGTTGTTGTATAATAATGACTTTCGAATATATATTATTCATTCCTCTTAATTTTGTCGATATCTAAATGTAGAAAGAAGCCAAGTTTCTACGGTAGACAAGTTCAGTAACGCTTGGGAAGTTTCTGATAGTTTGTTACTAGGGATATTTTAAGAAAGGAAAAGAAAATTTCTCTATTTGATTTCTTTAAGAAGTTATCAGTAACCGTGTCTTCTTTTTTTCTTTATTTTTAATCATTTCACACACAAGCAAGACAATAAAGCCACTAACACGCAAGGGATTCATTGGTTGGGAGAGAATATGAGATAAAGAATATTATTAAGGAGAACGGAACGGTAAAGGGATATGAACTAATAAAACAGAAGAATAGATTGACTTTGCATTTAAACTTTTGAAGATCTAAGTTGACTGTAACGCAAGAACACGGAAGAGAGTTCCACAAGTGAAGAGTGCGGTAGAAGAAACTGTTAGCATAGAACTTACGGTAACATGTAGTCATTCTAACTGTAAATTTATGAGACCATGACTCCTGCACTTATATTCATTAGCTCTAGATATAAGAATTACCATGGAATTATTTATAGAAAAAGCAGAGGGTAGCTACATTAGCCTGGTGGGAAAATGACTAAAGACGGGATATCAGATCAGGGTCAATAACATTGCAGATTCTTCTTTGGATTTTATAAAAAATCTCTAAATATAAAGCAGGAGTATCCGACCAGATGTGGCAACAATATTCAAATCATGGACGAATGATTGATTTCTAAATAAGTAATACAGATTATGGCGAGAAAAATTGTCTAGCACGACAATTTTTCATGGTCAGTAAACATAGACAATTTTCTGTTATATGTTTAATGAGAAATGCCGTGTCAGTAAATTCGTATATAATCACAGCATCAAGAACATAGAGTCATGTCTAAATGAATATTCAATTCTATTTCTGAAAAGAGACACGAATCTGATTTGATGAGTTAGGAAAATGTTAGGAAAATAAAACTGTGTAGTACTCCCGGTCGATATGATCACCAAAGTTCAGAATAGACACAGCACGTAAAAGAAAAAGAAAGTTATTTCGTTCAATTATCATTTCCACATTTGTTGGGTTTTCTATTTTGTTTTAAACTACAAGGTTGCATCTAGATTGGGGCAAACACCTAAAGGATAGATCTCCCAGCCGCTATGAAGGTAATAAGTTGATAAATTAAATGAAACGAGAGGCGAGCACAGCAACTTTAGGGACAAAATACCCACAGAACCGACTTCGCAGGACACCGAATCTTGCTGACTACTGGTTTTTCCCTCACGTTTATGGCAGGAGATGTTGACAGAAACCCAGATCGAGACAAGTCGTAGAGAGGCCCGTATCTGAACATGTCAAGCTATCCCGCTGCTAACATGGAAAACCCTGATGTGACTGGTTTTGACGGCTTTCTCTGAATACGATTCGGGGTCTCCTTTGCGTCTGTACACTTTTCAAGCAAAAGAAGCCTCTCAAAAGCTAAACAAACGATTAAGAATCTGGAAAGTTTCTTTAGAAAATGTGTGTTGGACAGCTATTTAATATCGGTCTTACTATATGGCAGTGAATGCTGGGCAATCTCTTAACAGATCCTTTATCTGTTAAGAAATTGTCCAGCATTCACTGCCATATAGCTTGAAGGAATTGGATGCTGAGAATAAAAATAGACAGAATTTGTAAGTAATGAGGAAGTTTCAAATAAAATGGAAACAAAAAGGAAACTTATATTTAACGTTAGAAAAGGGTATATGTCTGTATAACTATGATGAGGTATTATGATTACTTGCATTATTTATATAACTCGGACTGTTATCCTCATCTTCATATTCATAAAGTTTCGGCCGTTGTACGCTCCAGCCTTCTTCAGATAATTGTAATTTTGAACCGAAACCTTTAATTCGTCCACCGAAGAAAGAGAAAGAAATAATTTAATATAAGAAAGAAAGGCAGAAAGAAAGTAAGAAAGACAGTAAGAAAGAATGAAAGAAAAAAGAAAGAATGTACGAAAAATTACGAAAGAAAGACAGAAAGAAAGAAAAAATTACGAATGAAAGAAAGAAAGAAAGAAAGAAAGAAAGAAAGAAAGAAAAATTATGAAAGAAAGTATGTAATGAATGAAGAAATAATTAAAGAAATGAAAGAGTTAATGAATAAAGAAATGAAGAAATAGTAAGTAAATAAATAAATAGATAAAAAAAGAATGAAAGAAAAAAAGAAAGATATAGATTATGGAAGACAAAGTGAAAATAAAGTAGTCAGTAAAAAAATAAATAAAAAAATCATGGCGGAAGCAAGAATAAATGAACCATGAAAAGGAAAAATAAAAGCAAAAATAATCGGTCAAGAAGAAGAAGAAGAAGAAAAAGAGGAACTATTAATATTGTTTTTTTTTTTTTTTTGTGGTTGTTGTTGGTGGTGGTTGGAATGTGCTTTCAGTAAGCCGGGAAAAGTAACGAGTGTCCAACAGATGGTGAAAACAGTCAAAGACAGATGCGATCTCAAGCATCTCAGTTTTGCTTCATCAGAGACACGGGACTGATTCAAGTCCCTATGACGTCTTCTAGCTTTTTTTTTCCAGTGAGCCGTGACGTTAGATCTTTACATAGGCCTTAAACTCGATAGCTGCAGGCGGTTGAGATGGTTTTAACAGGATACGAACCCGACTCATTTTCATGATGTACAACAACAACAACAAAAACATGGTACGCGAAAAGAAATGTATTCAACGAGTAGTTTTTTTTTTCTTTCAAGAATTTAAAGATGAAGACAAGAAGAAAGAAATGAAGGGAGACTAACACACACACACACACACAAAAACACGCACACACCTGCACCAACACGCATATATATATATATATATATATATATATATATATATATATAAAATGGTATGTAACTTGATAAATGAACGATTTAATATCGGAAGGAAAGGGAAGGGAGGAGGAAGGGAAGAATATGAGTATCGGACGTAAAAAGACATTAAAAGAAAGAAAGAAGAAAAAGAAAGAAGAAAAAGAAAAAAAGATAACGAAGAATGGGAAGAGGGAAGAAAAAGAAAAAAGAAAGAAAGAAAACAAGAATACTAACAAATAAAAAAGAAATACAGAAAGAAAGAAGGAAACGAAGAAGGAAAGAAAGGAAAGAGGAAGAAGGAAAGAAAAAAGAAAGGAAGAATGACAGAAAAGAAGAAAAAAGAAAGAGAAAAAGAAAGGGAAAAAGAAAGTCAGAAAAGAAGAAAGAAAAAAAGAGAGAAAGAAAGAAAGAAAAAAGGAAGGAAGAAGGACAAAAAAGAAGAAAGAAAAAGAAAGAATGAATAGAAGGAAGAAGAAAAAAGGACAGAAAGGAAGAAGGAAAGAAAGGAAAAAAGAAAAAAAGGAAAAGGAAAGGAAAAAGAAATGAAGAAGGACTGAAAGAAAGAAAGAAAATGAGAAAGAAAGAAAGAAAGAAAGAATGAAAGAATGAAAGAAATAAAGAAAGATTCGGAGTAATTAAAAAGAAAGGAAGTAATTGAATAGAAAGCAAGGAATGGAACGGAAAATGTAATAAAGAATCTAAAACGAAAGAAAGAAAGAAAGAAAGAAAGAAAGAAAGAAAATGAATGAAAGAAAGAAATGAACAATGAATGATAGGAAAAATGTGAATCATAAGAGAAACAAAAGAGAGTTAGCCCTGGAGAAGGAAAACAAAAAGAGACAACAAAAATGCAGTAATAAAAAAGAAAGAGAAAGAAAACACATAAAGAGAGATGAAAAAGAACTTTCTATCTAAATAAATTAATCTTTTTCTAACTATTTAATATTTCTGTTTTTAATTCTTTCCCACCCAGTCCTCCATTGTGTCATACTGGTTTTACTGCCTTGCATTTGGTAAATTCGATCTAAAAAATAAACAATTTATTCATACAAGATCTCAAAAAAGAAATCTGCTAACTAATTGATATGACTTGCCCACATGATTCAATGTTTCTAAAAATAAGAATTTCAAAAACTGTTAAATAATAACCTGTAAATCGAAGTAACAAAAATATGGCAACTACAATTACCCTTGTTGTTATCGGGACATTCGGTATGATAAAGAAGGGTAACGAAAATCGTGTTAGTAAAATCCCTTAACGCATTAGCATCTCAGAGCTACAAAAGTTTGCTTTGTGCGCAACTGGACATATCCACAAAACCCTCTCCATCTAAATGAAATGTCCCAAATGTACATAGATTACTCTCCTACAATGACCCTTTTTTAATCATGGACCCTAAAAGGTACTTGGTAATTAGGTACTTAATATTACTCTCTGGCAGGATGATACCACACACAATAATAATAATAATAATAATAATAAGAAGAAGAAGAAGAACAATAATAATAATAATTATAGAAATTGCAAAAACGTGATAAGAACATCACCCAGACCTGGCTACAACGATAGGACTTGTAACAATTTTATGGGTCTTTACAATACATACAGACAGAACAATGAAAGCTAATCGCCCAAACATCCTGAGCAAACCCCACAGAAACAGAACGCGCTTTCTTATTGACATGTCAGTCCTTGCAGACTGTGATGTTCTTTTGAAGATCTTCAAAAAAAAAAAAAAAAAAAAAAAAATTTAAAATTATATAAAGATCTTGAAGTGGAAATCTCAAATCGGTGGCTCTGAGGACATCAATAATTCCAGTAGTAGTTGGAGCACTCGGATTGAATGGAAAAATTTCCTATAGACTCATTGAAGTGATCCCCAGTAGTTCATGACTTAAAGAAATATCAAAAAATTGTACTCACAAGTATTGTTCACACATTACGAAGAACTTGATTTATATAAAATATGTATATGAACTTAGTTTGATTTTTTTTCAAAAATGATCAGTGGAAGATGTCATGAAGCGATTTCTGGTTAACACCCGGAAGGAAATGTGTATACAACAGAAATCAAAGCAATAATAATAATAATAATAATAATAATAATAATAATAATAATAAAAATTAAATCCCTAAATGAAATTCCATCAATCAATGAAATGCTGAAACAGAAACTTCAGTTAAAGGCACAGAAAACAAGACGATACGAAAAGGATTGAGGTTTTATCGCCAAAATAAAATATTCCAGACGGACCTTAAGAAATTTTACAGGGAAATTGGAAAAACACCTATACATGTTGAAAAGCTACCATCTATTGACAATGTGCAGACATTTTGGGAGAATATATGGAGTAGCCCAAAAGAATATAACACATATGCAGAATGGATCCAACGGGAAGAAGAACGAATGCTGGATTCTGCAAGAGAGAGAAAATATGACCACGGATAATGTTAGGCAAGCTCTAACGAAATCCCCAAAATAGAAATCCCCAGCAATGGCAAAGTGCCCAATTTGTGGCTCTATCATCTCTCATCAACCCATAAAGCCCTCGCAAAAACTCTGTCAACGCTTATAATAAGTCCAATGAAATCTCGGATTGGATCACTGATGGTATTACATACCTTATGCCAAATTGATGATCTGACAAATTGTAATTATATCATTATAACATGCCTCTCCACCACGTATAAGTTGATCAAGTCTGTCCTGACTAACCAAACTTTTATCGAAGCAAACAACATTCTTCCACTGAAACAGAAGGGATGCAGGAGAGGTTCATATGGCTGAAAAGATCAACAAAATGATCCTGGAAAATTGCAGACGATGTAGAAATCTTAGCGCTGCGTGGATTGATTATCTTAAAGCCTTTGATAGTGTTCCACATTCTTGGATCCTTAAGACTTTGGAAATATACAAAGTCTCCTCTGTGGTAGAAAATTTCCTTACGCACAGTATGAGAATGTAGAACACCACACTAAAACCAAATCACGCCGGAGGCACTGCCATCTCCAATCGTCAGAATATCAGACGCGGAATATTTCAAGGAGACCCCTCTAACCCCTTATGTTTTGTTTGTCCTTAATCCAGCTTACGTATGAACTAAACAACAGTAGCTATGGTTACAAACTAGACAAAAAAAATATTCAATCCTCTACTCTACATGGAGGATCTCAAACTCTTTGCCAAAAGCGAATGAGTTGAAGGACCTCCTCAATATGATAAAATGTTTCAGTGACGACATAGACATGAACTTCATATTAGATAAATGTGCAAAAGTAACAATAAAGAAAGGGAGAATTATAGAAACCATCTCAATAGATTTAGACTTTGTCACAAAGATTAGGAAACTGGAACAAGAGGAAACCTATAAGTACCTATGAATTAGCGAAGGAGATGGTAAGTACCCAAATGAAACAAGGTAAGAAAGGAGTACAACAGTCGTGTGCGTCTGGTACTAAATACCGAGCTGAACTCAAAAAACAGAATATCAGCCATAAACACCTTGGCTGTCCCTGTGGTGCAATACAGCTTTAACATCCTTAACTGGACCATAGCTGACATTAAGCGAATGGACGCCAAAACGAGAAAGCTTCTAACTTGCTACAGCATGCATTATCCCAAAGCTGAAGTTGATCGTCTGTCTGTGCAGAGAATTATTTCAACTAGAACTGTCCTACAAAACTACAACAATTGGCCTTCAAAGATACTTGGAAACTACAGAAGACTGGATAATTATATGTGTCAAAGAACATGAGAGTAGTAAGCGTCGTAATAAAAGAAGTCAACAAGTTCAAAATGGATTCAGCAATACAAGTAAAGCACAATACACCGACTGAAGCTGCAAAATGCATAAAAAAGAAAGCAAAAACAAATGTAACCGACCAGATACAGAAACAATGGCAAGTTAAACCGCTTCATGGCCAATACTCTTCCTGTACCAAACAAGCTGATGTAGGCAAACCCCATACCCATCAATGGCTACGTAGTGCAGGGTTAAAAGCTGAAACGGAAGGTTTTATCCTTGCTGCAGAGGACCAATGCTTGTTAACTAGAAATTATCAAACACAGGTACTAAAATACCGTGTTAGCCCAAAATGCAGGATCTGTGATAATTACCCAGAAACAACTGATCATCTTGCATCAGGTTGCAAGGTATTGGCACCCACTAACTATAAAACCCGGCATGACAGAGTTGGCCAATATCTGCACTGGAAAATCTGCAAATTCTACGGAAAGGAAACTGAAAGGAAACAAAATAAATATTTTCTGATTTAAAATCAGCAAATATTCTTAGAGTGTAAGAATTGTACATTTGGGAGATAATAATGGTTTAGTGATACAAGTATTACTAATTAACCCATAGCTAGGGGACAAGAAGTGGATCTATACATTTCCTAAGTGAATATAACGAACCCAGCTGGAATTGGGACTCGGTTCACGATGAAAAATTCTATCCATTACACTAACCAAACATAAAAGATGATAGCAATTCATATTGCCGAGTAGTTACCCATCTACATACTCGCCAGGCTCAAAGCTGCTTAACTTCGCTGGTCGTATTGAAACCAGTGTTTTAACGTCATGTGGACATTCACATTGTGATCCCTAAAAGTAGTTTTTACAGTAGGTGTTCCAAGCACTCTCTCACCTTAGTATTTGACTTAACTTCTGTGATCGAATTAGAACCAGTGTTTCCATCGTGAATATAAGGAAAGAGGGTTTGGAGAATTTAACACTCGCATAGCATAATGGCGAAAAAAAGACTAGTGTAACCTAAATGATTAGATTTTTGTGAATAGTTGATAGAGACGGACCAAAAATAAATCAAAATCTTGTACAAAGTGATGAATAGCGTGAAGTCGTGGAGAACCTGATCGCCTACATCCTGCAGACTTGATATAAATGAAAGAGTTGTCTGCGACATAATTAAAATGGCCGGATACAAAATAACCAGTCATTTCCGATGTGTTTATTTTCTGACGTCCGAAAGCTTCGACATATTTTTGCTTATTGATTAGAGATTTGTTCCGACCGAAGAGATCTGATGTTTTTATATTATTTATCAAGAGTACGCGAACGGGTTTGACAGGTACAAGCAAACGTGTTGATTATGCATCGAATTCATTCTATTCAAATCTAAATATTTTCTGTCTGTTTGTCTTTCGAGCTATTTCCGTCTATTCATATCTATACATTGGGAATGGATTTTTCTTTTTATCCGACTTTATTTGTTATTACTGAAAAAGTCATTTTTAATGGGTAAACGTATATGAATATCGGGATACAGGTTCGATACCTGTCGGAAACACCATCTTTCTTCAGTAGGACTTCTCAATCTAAGCCTGTTGTTATTTATTTAAAAGTTTAAGAAAGAACAAAAACAGGCATATCAAATCAAATAAAGTTTATAATATCTATCTATCTATCTATCTATCTATCTATCTATCTCAGTTTGTTCATATCTATCTATCTATCTTCTTTCGTTACTATTTTCTCCGTTTCTATCTTTCTATCTGTCTGTCCCAGTTTGTTACTATCTATCTATCTATCTATCTATCTATCTATCTAATTATCTATCTATCTATCTAGATAGATAGATAGATAGCTATCTTCCTGTACTCGTTTTTATCCATCTATCTGCCTTCATTCGTTTTTATCTATCTATCTATCTATCTATATATCTATCTATCTATCTATCTATCTATCTATATATAGATAGATAGATAGATAGATACATACATACATACATACATTATTATTTTTATTATAAGAGATTATAATAAGACTTTG